GGAGGAGGAGGAGGAGGAGGAGGAGGAGGAGAAGGAGGAGAGGAGCAGGAGGAGGAGGAGGAGGAGGAAAAGGAGGAGGAGGAGGACCAGGAGGAGGAGGAAGTGCATCCCGTGCGTGCCCGCTCGAGGAAAGTGCGCCCCGGCGGGCGTCGTATCTGCCCTGGCCCCCCCTTCCCCCCCTCCCCCCCCCCTGCGGGGAAGGGATCAAAGGGAAGGGGCTTCCCTTCGACTCCACTACGACGTCGTTTAATTTCGCTTTGGATAGCGCGCTTGAGGAGGAGAGCCTTGGGAAGGGGGAGAACGGAGACGACGGAGACGACGAGTCGAACGGAGAAGCCCCCCACACACGCCGACAGGGTTGACGGATTTTTCGTCGAGAATCCCCCTGTAGGGGGACACGCCCGACAGAAGCCCAGGGTGAGCCTGGCCAGGGTCGGTGTGGGTGTGCAGATGGCGTCCTCCCAGCGGAAGCGGCACGGGCGACGCTGCTCTGCGCGCTTCTCGGGGCCAGCGTCAGGGGGGGGGAGGACGAGCTCCGTGTGTGGGTGTGTGTGCATCGACCCCCCGTCGCCCCTTTGATCGCCGCTTGGGGCCTGGCAGCCCGCCCCGCCGGGGAGCGCGCTGATCTGTTTTTCCGGGCCTGTCGCCGACCCATCGGCAGTGCATCGCTGAGTAAAGCTCGATCTTCCCCTCCCCCCCTTGAGCCGGTCCCACCGAGGAACGGGCGAGGAGGAGGACTTGCTCAGAGGAGCAAAAGGTACCGATCCCGCTGCCCCCTCGCTTTCGCCCTTCTGAGCCTCCTTTGGACGCCCTCGCCGCCACGGCTGGATTGGCCTCGGAATTCTGGTCTGAACGCAGCCTGAGAGAGGTCCAGGGATTTCAGGTATCGGCATCTTTTGGTGTCCCCATGCACGGGCGATGCTTTTGCGCGTTTTTCGAGAGAGGGGGGGCATAGACGCCGTCAGAGGTGTGCGGGTTCGCGGCAACGACACAAGCCTTTGGCCGGTGGCGAGGGTTGGGGTTGTCAAGGGTCTCCCGCGTGGCTCACGCGCTTCGTGTGTTGCCTCAGGCTTGGAAGCCCTTTGAGCAGCGAAACTCAGACAACGTACGTGGTTACCGACCACGAAGTCAGGGTCTCCCTGTCACACCTGATTGCCTCAGGCACGCATGATCTCATATGCACCTGTTTTTGGCCTCTCAGGGCCCGCTTGGAGGTCTCTTCGACTTCTTGAAGACTTCATGGCTGCATGCTGAGTGACAGTTGGAGGTCTCGGAGACGTCGGAAGAGCCCTGGGGGGTATTGCGGCAGTCTTTGGCGGGTCTTGGGGCCGTCCTGGGCTGGTGTTGGGTCGTCCTGCAGCGCCCACTGTCGTGGGTCTTGGGCTGGGCTGTCTTTCGCCAGTCCCCGGTGTGGCGGGCCGATCCAGAGACAGCGCCCACATGACATCCACTCTTGGTAGTGTTGCACGCCCTGGCGCAGCTCTTCGATATCACGCGCTTCTCGTTCACGTCAGGAACGGCTTGAGACACATCCGACATATAAGATGTTTGGGGCGCTGTCGTCCGACGTCGATGATGAGGGCAGAATTCCTCAGGACATGGAGGCCGTTTTCTGTTCGGCGGCGAGCCCAGGGGGAAGTGAGAGGGGGCAGGTCTTCTCAGAAGGCGTCGGGGCTTCTCAGAAGCCCTC